TTATAATCTATAATCTATATATAATATATACTATAATCTATAGTCTATATATAATGTATATTATATATACCTCCACATTATATATATATATTTACATATATATTATACGTACCCTTTTTCTTTGTGGGGGGGAGCGGTTTTTGCTATAGGGCGCATGCTCTTGCCAGAAAGAGACAGAAAGAGAAAAAGCGAGAAATCACCCCCCGGGGGGAGATGGCCACATCACAATCCCTCCTCCTCCACTCTCCTCTTGGGATTTTGGGCACGCACGCATATGCGCCCGGCGTGAATTTAAGCCACCTGGTCCGAGACTTGAACCACGGTCAACCGAATGGGAGTCTAGTGACTAGCCATTACACTAACTACTGATCCCTCTCCATATATTTTTTAAACTTAAAAACAATTTATTTAACTTTATTTATTTACTTATTTTAAAATTTGACCAGAGATGGACAGAGAGAGAGAGAGAAGGAAAGTGAGAAAGCAAGCCTCCAGGTCTGGTACTTGAACCGTGGTAAGCCATGTGGGAGTCCAGCTCTCTTAACCACCATGCCACCTGCTGGCCCATGTATCTTTTTTTTTTTTTAAAGAGTTTTTTTGCATACACTTTCCAGAGAGACAGAAAGCAAGAAATCACCCCCCAAGGGGGATGGCTACGCCACAATCCATTCTCCTCCATTGTCCTCTAGGGATTTTGTGCACATATGCACACATGCCTGGTGTTAGTTTTAAGCCGCCAGGTCCAGGACTTGAATTGAGGTCAACTGTGGGAGTCCAGCGACATAACCCTCATACCATCTGCTGGTCCCATGAGATGGATAATATCTTTAAGTATACCGCTTACCCCTCCTGCACAGAAAAGTCACTAAACAAATCTTTTTTCTTTTTCTTTTTTCTTTTTTTGGAGAGGTTTTTGCTATAGGGCGCATGCACTTGCCAGACAGACAGAGACAGACAGAGAGAGAGAAAGCAAGAAATCACCCCCCAGAGGGGATGGCCACGCCGCAATCCCTTCTCCTCCATTCTCCTCTCAGGATCTTGGGCACGCACGCACACGCGCCCGGTGTGAGTTTAAGCCACCGGGTCTGGGACGCGAACTGCGGTCGACTACGTGGGAGTCCAGTGACATAGCCATTACGCTAACTGCTAGTCCCCCACTACACAAATCTTAACCAGAGCAACTGTGGGCTCCCTTGTCTGGCAGAGGCCGGTCCATGGAGGGGCTTAGGCATCTCCCCCTTAGGACCAGCTGGCACCTCTGTACTACCAGTCTCCATCCTATGCTGCTGTCACAGATGTCACTGAGCAAGCTTACAGTTGCCTTCTGGTCAACCTGTTTAGTCTCCCTGTTCTCCCTTTGGCTAAATGGTCATAGCGGGGCCAGCAGTTAGCGTAATGGCTATGTCGCTGGACTCCCATGTAGTCGACCGCGGTTCAAGTCCCGGACCCGGTGGCTTAAACTCACACCGGGCGCGTGTGCCTGCGTGCCCAAGATCCCGAGAGGAGAATGGAGGAGAAGGGATTGTGGCGTGGCCATACCCCCTGGGGGGTGATTTCTCGCTTTCTGTCTCTCTGTCTCTCTCTGTCTGGCGAGCGCACGCGCCCTATAGCAAAAACCTCTCCAAAAATAATAATAATAAAATAAATAAATGGTCATAGCAGTTTGAGTTCTTGTGTATCAGACACTGCCCTGAGCACTTGATGAACCATTGCAGTTCTCAGAGACCGGAGCTCAGTTCCACCTCTGGAGTGCTGCTGGGAATATCTGTGTTATCAGGAATGGTGGGTATATCAGAATCCAAGGACAGGGAGAGAGAAAGAGACAGACAGACATCTTGTAGGAATCCCATGCACAGGTTTTAGGCATAGATTGTTCTGGCTGCCTGGAGAGGCTACTGCTACCATCTTCCTGGTTTACAGCTGAGCCCTGGATCTCGATGGTTAAGCTCTATTAAAAATTCTAGGCATGGGGGACCAGCGGTTGGCGTGGTGGTTGTGTCGCTGGACTCCCATGTGGTCAGCCGTGGTTCGCATCCCGGACCCGATGGCTTAAGACTCATGCCGGGTGCGTGTGTGTTGTGTGCCCAGGGTCCCAGGAGGAGCGTGGAGGAGAAGGTATTACGGCATGGCCGTTCCCCCAGGGGGATGATTTCTCGCTTTCTGTCTCTCTGTCTGTCTGTCTGTCGAGCGTACACGCCCTAGAGCAAAAAAAAAAAAAAAAAATTCTAGACATGGAGAGCCTGCAGGTAGCATGTTGGTTAAGGGTGCTGGACTCCCACAAGGCTGATGGTGGTTTGAGTCCTGGACCTGGCGGCCTGCTTTTTCACTTTCCTTCTCTCTCTGGTCAAAAATAAATAAATAAATAAAGTTAAATAAAATAATTCTTAAAAATAAAAAAAGTTCTGGGCATGGGGCCGGCAGGTAGCGTGGTGGTTAAGGGTGCTGGATTCCCACACCGCTAACCATGTGGTTCAAGTCCTGGACCTGGTGGCTTGCTTTCTAGCTTTCCCTCTCTCTCTCACTCTGTCCCTTTCTGGTCAAATTAAAGTAAGTAAATAAAGTTCAATAAAATATTTTTTTTTTCTTCTTTTTTTTTTTGGAGAGGTTTTTGCTATAGGGGGCGTGCGCTCACCAGAGAGAGACAGAGAGACAGAAAGCGAGAAATCACCCCCCAGGGGCGATGGCCATACCACAGTTCCCTCTCCTCCATTCTCCTCTTGGGACCTTGGGCACGCACGCACACGCGCCCGGCGTGAGTTTTAAGCCACCGGGTCCGGGAAGCAAACTGCGGTCGACTATGTGGATGTCCAGTGACATAGCCATTACGCTAACTGCTGGTTCCCTCAATAAAAGAATTCTTAAAAAAAAAAAATTCTAAGACAGAGGGACACAGCATTCCCATGGGCATGATCACATCACAGTTGAAAAAAAAAAGAATTCTAGGCTCAGGGCCAACAGAGGGCACTGTGGTTATGCTTCAATCCCTTCTCCATTCTTCTCCCAGGATCTTGGGCACATGCACGCAGAGTGAGTTTCAAGCTACCGGGTCTGGGACTTGAACTGCAGTTAACCATGTGGGAGTCCAGTGACGTAAGGCAAAAACCTCTTTAAAAAAAAATAGATTCTAGACTCAGGACCAGTCAGGTGGCATGGTGGTTAAGGTAGCTGGATCCCACGTGGCTGAATGGATAGTTCCAGTCCTGGACCTGGTGGCTTGCAAAATTAGCCAGGTGCATGCGCACACATGCCAAAAATCCCAAGAGAAGAATGGAGAAAGTATTGCTGTGTGGCCATCCCTCATGGGCAAAACTGGAAAAAAAAAAAAAAAAAAGCAGCAGCTGAAACCCACATGATGGCCATGGTTTGAATCTCCAGTCTGGTCAGTTTCAAACACACCAGACACATGTGAATACCCAGGATCCAGCAGTCTGGAGGCGTGGAGTCCTGGAGGCAGGGTATAATGGCATGCCAGATCCCGTGAAAGATGCTCATTTCTCCCCCTCACTCACTCCTTTTCTCTCCCTCTTGTCTCTCCCTCTCACATGATGCAGTCATGATCACGAATAAAGAAAAGAAAAATAAAAAAAACTATCCAAAAAAAAAGGGAACCAGCAGTTAGCGTAATGGCTATGTCGCTGGACTCCCACGTAGTCGACCGCGGTTCGTGTCCCGGACCCGGTGGCTTAAAACTCACGCTGGGTGCGTGTGCGTGCGTGCCCAAGATCCCGAGAGGAGAATGGAGGAGAAGGGATTGCGGCGTGACCACCCCCCCAGGGGGTGATTTCTCGCTTTCTGTCTCTATGTCTCTCTCTGTCTGTCTGGCGAGCGCACGCGCCCTACAGTGAAAATCTCTCCAAAAAAAAAAAAAGAAAAGAAAGAGGGGCTGGCAGGTGGTGTGGTGGTTAAGGGTGTTGAACTCTCATATGGCTGACCACTGTTCAAGTCCCTGACCTGGTGGCTTGCTTTCTCACTTTCCCTCACTCTCTCTCGCTCTTGCTCTCGCTCTTGCTTTTGCTCTCTTTCTGTCCCTCTCTGGTCAAATTGAAATAAATAAATAAATAAATAAATAAATAAAATAATTATTATTTTTTTTGTGTGTGTGCGTGTGTGAAGTTTTTGTTACAGAATGTGTGCGCTCGCCAGAGAGACAGAGAGACAGAAAGGGAGAAGTCATCCCCTCAGGAGGGATGGCCACACCACAATCCCTTCTCCTCCATTCTCCTCTCGGGATCTTGGGCACGCATGCACACATGCCTGGCATGAGTTTAAGCCACCGGGTCTGGGACTCGAACTGTGGTCGACTACATGGGAGCTCAGCAACATAGCCATTATGCTAACTGCTGGTCCCAATAAAATAATTCTTTTAAAAAAGAAAATGTGCCGTAGCCTAGTTGTTAAGAGCTAGAAATCGAATGGCCATCTGTGGTTTGAACCCCAGCCCTGGTGACTTGGAAAAGCATGGTGCTAGTCCCCTATTGTGTTTCCGGGCACCAGGTCCAGGACTTGAACCACACAGTCTGCCATGTGAGATCCAGCTATTGCCTTAACTACATCACAGACTGACCCTCTGGTGTAATTTTTTCTAGCGTCCAGGGCTGGGATTCGAACCATGTTTTTTTTTTTTTTTTTAAATATATAGTTCATTCACTCATCTCATGACAGAGAGCGTGTGAGAAAGACAACCCCAATAGGATCTTATACTGCCATCGACCCCCAGCCTCAGCCAGCCCAGATCAAAGGCACATATATGCGTGCAGAGGGAGGCCCCGGGACGTGAACCTGGTACTGTCCTGTGTGGGTCCAGCATTTCTGAACTTTACATCATCCCTGAACTACCAGCTGGCCCCCTACTTATTGTTTAGTGTTGATCTCTCCCTATTAGACTGAAGCAAGTATGGATAGGATGGGGGTCTTCTCTGGTGCATCTGTAATGCCTACAACAATGGTTGGCACACAGTAGGTGTTCAACTAATATTCTCCTGAAGGAGTTCATGATCTTGTATGATCCAGCCCCTCTGCAGGGCTGTTCCCTGTGGTTGTTCCATTGTTACCCTCCCCCAATTCCTCAGCATTTTTAAACTTTTTAATTTTTTGGAGAGGTTTATGCTATAGGGCATGTGTGCTCGCCAGAAAGACAGAGAGAGACAGAAAGTGAGAAATCACCCCCCAGGGGGGCTGGCCACGCCGCAATCCCTTCTTCTCCATTCTCCTCTTGGGATCTTGGACACGCATGCACACGCGCCTGGCGTGAGTTTAAGCCACCGGGTCCAGGACTCATACCGTGGTCGGCTACATGGGAGTCCAGCGACTTACCCATTACGCTAACTGCTGATCCCCCTCAGCATTTATTTCAGAACCAACACACATAAGTGAGAAATGGAGGGAGAGAATGGGTGGCATGGTGGTTAAGGTACTAGACTCCCACATGGCTGACTGCGGTTCAAGTCCTGAACCTGGTGGCTTGCTTTCTCACTTTCCCTCTCTCTCTTTCTCTCTCTCTGGTAAAAATAAAACATAAATAATAATAACAAATAAAATAAAGCTATCTAAAAAAAAAAAGAGAAGTGAAAGAAATTTGAAAGAGAGAGGAAGGGAGGATGATGAAAGAGAATGAAAGAGATAAAGCCCTCCCCAGGTCTGTGAGCCCAGTGGATTCATACCTCAGGGGATGTGGCTTCAGGATGTTTCTCCAGGGTACTGGGGGGCTTGGGTTCTTCAGTGGGATCCAAGGCTGGGGCTGGGGGCTGGGGGTCAGGGCCAAGGTGGGGTGGTGGTGCCTGGGGACCGGTTGTGACAGGCCCAGGGCTGGGGTCTCGGGGAAGGGGCTCAGTGGCCTGGGGGAGCTCATCCATCCCGAAGATCTGCTCATAATATGTGATGAGGAACTCGATGAGCTGAGTCTGGTGACCGGAGTCCAGCAGGCAGGTGACAGGGCTGGCACCGGCTGCCCCTGGCCCCGGTGGCCGTAGCAGTGTCGGCCCAAAGACAATACCCAAGTTGTTGGCAGACATCTTGTTTTCCTCAAACTGTGCAGCTACCCTGGGAACGGTGTGAGGAGAAAAGTCAAGGCATAGTTTGAGGGGAAAGGCGTCAGGACCTACAGGGCCAGTCTAGACGTGACTGAAGTCACATCCCCGGGAACTGCTTCCGGTCATTGTTTAAGACCACCAACCAGCCCAGAGTTGGGAGTCAGGGGTCAGTACCCAAAGTTAGGAGTCAACGGAGTAACGGTAGAGTTCAGAGACAGGTCAAAGGTCAGAGGTCAGTGTTGGGGATCAGCCACAGAGGTCAGTAATTGCCTATCCAGGAAAGGGAGTCACGTGTCACGGCTCAGGGACCAGTGCACACCTGAACAGATGGGCCACCAGGTGTCGCAAGGTGTTGTAGTTAGAATCTGGCAGCTGCACCAAGAGGGTCTTCAGCGAGCGGATAACCTCAGGACTGGGGCTGGGGGTCCCGGGGTTGTCCCCAGGGTCTGCATGCAGGGTCTTAGCCAGAGAGATGAAGGCGTCGTAGAGGTGGAAAGGGACCACGGGGTCGGTGAGCTGGGGGTGGAATGGGTGGAGGGACACGAGTGTGGGTCAGCCGTGGAGAGTCCTCAGCCTGAGTCCGCCCGGCCCTTCCTTACCCACCCAACTCCCCGAGTTCCCTGAGCACCCACCTCCTGGAGAAACCGCTTGAGAACACTTGAGACATCGTGAGGTGAGTTTCCAGACAGCTCCACCAATGCACGGCCGTTCTCGAAAGCCTGGCACAGCCGTTCCACGCGCACCCGGGAGCCACTGACGCGGTAGATGCCCTGCAGGGCGAGGGAGGGAGAAGGACTCCTGGCTTGTGAGCTGCCTATCAGAGTAAGGCCAGGTCATTTGTGGGTCATTTCTGCCAAGGGTCAAGTCTGTACCTGCACACCCAGGGCACGGTGTTCTATCTCGGCCGTGCACCTGGTCACCACGAAGGGCACCTCCTCCGGGAAGTCTCTGGGTAGCTGCAGGAAGTCGACCCCGAAGAGGGGCGTTCGGGGCGGGAGTCTTCTGTGTCCACAGTTGATGAGTAGAGTCTCGAGGCAGCGCTTGTGGCAGGTCAGAAAGCACTGGGGGAGGGACCAGCAGTTGGCATCATGGCTATGTCGCTGGACTCCCATGTAATCGACCTCGGTTCGAGTCCCGGACCCGGTGGCTTAAAACGCACGCTGGGCACGTGTGCATGTGTGCCCAAGATCCCGAGAGGAGAATGGAGAAGGGATTGTGGTGTGGCCATCCCCCTGGGCGGGGGGTGATTTCTCACTTTCTGTCTCTCTGTCTTTCTGGCAAGCACACATGCACTATAGGAAAAGCCTCTCCAAAAAAAAGAAAAGAAAGCCACTGGGGGAAAGGTTACAGGGCACAGGGTCAGGAAGGTCCTAAGGTTAGGAAGGTCATGGGGAGGGGTTTCTTTGGGGGAAGTGAAAGGCAACAGAGGATCCTCAAGAGGAAACGGAGGCTCATAATAGTACAGGGTGGTTCCCCAGAGGAGGAAGACTGGAGGTCTCATGTCTGAGAAGTCATGGGGGGAGAGTCACAGAGGGCTCTGGGTCATGGGGCCAAGCCACACCTCCTCACACTCCGTCCCGCTGACCATGAAGGCTTCGCACTCGCGGCATTTGGCCGGGCCCCGCAGCCGGCGCAGCCGGTGGGTCTGAGCTGCCCTGGACAGCGTCCACTTCCTGAAAGGACTGCCCAGTCCGTTCTCTAACCCGTCTCCCAAGTCTGCAGAAAAAGAGGGTCAGGGGTGCCGAGTCCACCTCCCACCCCACCCCGCCCCAGCCGCTCCTGGCCTCACCAGGGTCTCGCTCCTCCAAGTCATCCGAAGACTCAGTGCCTGTAGAGGAGACCTTGACCAGTCGCCGTGTGCCAGAGCCTGGGGGATCACAGAAGTTGGGAGGGCGGGAAGTCACAGGGGTCATGGGGAGATTCAGGGGCTAAGGACACAATCCTGGATTTCAAGGCTCCCAGGAGGACCCACAGAGGTCCTTGGGGACTCAGGGGATCCCAGATCAGGATGGGGGTCAGAGGTTAAGGTGTGGAGAGCAGTCAGTACTCTGAGAGGTGGTTCAGGATCAAAAGGATGGGTCAGGGGACCAGCAGTTAGCATAATGGCTATGTTGCTGGACTCCCGTGTAGCCGACCGCGGTTCGAGTCCCGGATCCTGCGGCGTAAACTCACGTCATGCGCGTGTAAGTGCATGCCCAAGATCCCGAGAGGAAAATGGAGGAGAAGGGATTGAGGCATGGCTATCCCCCCTGGGGGATGATTTCTCGCTTTTTGTCTCTCTGTCTCTTTTTGCACATGCCCTGTAGCAAAATCTCTCCCCCCCAAAATAAAGAATGGGCCAGAGGTTTAGAAAACGGGTCGGAGGGTGAAGGTAGGTCAGAGATCAAAGGGCAAGTCAGAGACAGAGTCAGAGCTTGGTCAGGGACTGGAGGATGGTCCAAGGTGGGGAGTGGATCGGGACCAGGTCTTATTTCCTACCTGGGCTGGAAGTGGGAGAGTCCAGGGAGCGGGACTCGCTACCGCCACCTACGCTGTCCACGTCACTGCCTGGAGTGGGGCCTGGAGTCCCTAGGTGGGGACAGATCAGTGAGGACAGCTCTGGCCCCGGCCCCAGCCCCATTCCCACCCTGTCTTCATGGTACTCACCCTGCCAGCCTGGGCCTGAGTCCTCCCAAGGGCCTGGTTCAGTTGAACTCTCCTCCAGCCGAGGAGGCAATGGCCCTGAAAGCTTCTTTCTCAGAGGTATGTCCAGAGGGGAGCTGAGAGGACAGAGATCTGAGGGCTCCATCCCCAGGAAACTGGCCTGGGGTGACAGCATGCCGGGATCACCCCTAGGGCCCAACTCCTAGTATTTGGGTCTGCAACCCCCAAAACTGAAGAGCATCAAAGCCCCTTGAGGGCCTTAGCTCCATAGTTCTGACTCTTTCTGGACTGGGACAACCCCTAATTCCCTCCAAAAACAGAAACAAGGGACTAGCGAGGGGACCAGCAGTTAGCATAATGGCTACATCACTGGACTCCCATGTAGTCGACCGCGGTTCAAGTCCGGACCTGGTGGCTTAAACTCACGCCGGGCGCGTGTGCGTGCATGCCCAAGATCCCGAGAGGAGAATGGAGAAGGGATTGCGGTGTGACCATCCCCCCTGGGGGATGATTTCTCGCTTTCTGTCTCTTTGTTTCTCTCTGTCTGTCTGGCGAGCGCATGCACCCTATAGCAAAAACCTCTCAAAAAAAAAAAACAAAAACAAAAACAAAAAACAAGGGACAGTTGGATCATGTAATAGTTACATTGCTGGACTCCCATGTAGTTGACTGCAGTTTGAGTCCTGGACCCGGTGGCTTAAACTCATGCCGGGCGTGTGTGTGTATGTGCCCAAAGTCCCAAGAGGGGAATGGGAGAAGAGGGACTGCACCATGGCCATCCCCCACAGGGGTGATTTATCACTTTCTGTCTCTCTGTCTTTCCGACAAGCACACTCACCCTATAGCAAAAATCTCTCAGGACCAGCAGACGGTGTAATGATTACGTCACTGGACTCCCACATAGTCGACTGTGGTTCGAGTCCCAGACCCGACAGTTTAAAACTCATGCCCTGCACATGTGCATGTGTGCCCAAAATCCCAAGAGGAAATTAGAGAAGGGATTGCGTCGTGGCCATCCCCCCTAGGGGGTGATTTCTCACTTTCTGTTTCTCTGTCTCTGTCTTTCCAGCAAGTGCATGTGCCCTATGGTAAAAAATTCAAAAAAAAAAAAAAACCACCCAAATCCAAAAAACAGCAGCCAGCAGATGGCACGGTGGTTAAGGCGCTGGACACTCCCACATGGTCAACCACGGTTTGAGTCCTGGATCTGGTGGCTTGCTTTCTCACTTTCTCGCTTTCTGTCTTTTTCTGGTCAAATTAAAATGAACAAATGAATGAATGAATGAATAAAATAAAATAATTATTTTAAAACACAACACAAAACAAAAAACTCTACAAAAACCAAAACCCAAACCCCAAACCCTGAGACCTCCGAGTACTAAGGGCTACCAAGTTCTCTGACCTCATATACCCAGCCCCATGGTGCCAACAGCCTGGCTCTGCGACTCGCAGGACCTCATACCCTGCCCTTCTTCTGGGGCCTACCTGTGAGTGGCTGCACATTCCTGGAAGGAGAACGCCGGAGGTGGAGGAGGTGGGGCCTCGGGCTGGACCGCTCGCACGAACTCCTGGTAGCGCTGGCCTGGCTCAAAGGGTGCACAGCACTCGGCCAGGGCAGCAAACGCCCGAGGGCCACGCTCTGCCTGCGCCCCCCGCAGCCTGAACAGGCCCAGGGTCACCTGTGGGGCGGAGTCAGCGCATCATTAGGGCGGGGCCTGGAAGTCTGGGAGGCGGAGCTAGATATGGGGCGGGACCTGATCAGCCATGGCTTGGAGGCGGGGCGCGCCATGGGCGAACGGTTTAGTGACTGTGGCGGTCCAGAGTCAGGGTGTGATCAGAGCTGGGGCGCAGTCCATCCCAGGGGGGTAGGACTTCATGGGGGTGAGGCCAAGGCTGAGGCAGGGTCGGAGGGAGGGAACTGGTTGTCTAGGCAGATAGGGTGAGTCTTGGTACCCCCAGGACCTGCTTAGGGGCCTGTGGGCGGGGCGGGGAAGGGGGTTCTCAGCTGGATCCCAAACCAGGTCAGTGGGGAAGGGCCTCACCCGCCGGAGCACTTCGTCCCCCTGCAACACCAGCTTGCGCACGTGTGACACTATCCGCTGCTTGGCAGTCTCCAGGTCCTGCTGGCGTGCGTTGGCCTCTCGGACGCAGGCCTGATACAGCGCCTCGGCCTCCTGCGCCTGGGGAAACCGAGGCCGGAGGCCATATGAGCGCGAGAGAGCAGGACAAGGGGGCGCTGTAGCCCCGGGGGTGGGGTAGGGGTGGGTAAGGGACTGCGTCTCCCACCTTGGCCTGGGCTTCCTCTCGCGAGCGCCTCCGCTTCTCCTGCTGTTTGCTGGCTGCTGGGGAGGCCTGGGGTGCTGGGTCCTCCGGGGAGCCCTGGGAGCGCGCCCGCAGGTCCTCGCTGCGTTGCACGTACTGGACCTGGGCCCGCCGCAGCGCTTGCACTGCCTCGTTCTAGGGGGCGTGGGCACAGATGGTCAGGGTCCCAATCTCTCCTCCCTGAACCCACTCCCTCATCTGGACCTCACCATTCGCTTCTGCTCCTTCATCCATTGCTCTTTGAATTCTTTTCGCCACTTTTCAATCTCAGTCCGCTTGGCAGCCAGGGGCTGGGTGAGGAAGGGGATAGGGATGAGGTGGCTGCCTCGGAGCCACTCACTGGGCCCTCCATTCTCTGCGCCCATGTGCCTTTCCTCCACTGGACTGTTTTCTTCCTTCATTCCTTCTTTTATTTATTTATTTATTTATTTATTTATTTATTTATTTATTTAGAGGTTTTTGCCATAGGGCGTGTGCACCAGACAGACAGAGACAGAGAGACAGAAAGCGAGAAATCACCCCCTGGGGGTATGGCCACACTGCAACCCCTTCT